AGGGTACGTGTACCGAGGAAAGCAGGTGGACACCAAACATGAGATCCACCTATCAGAAATCTCTGGGCGACTACAGATCGCAATGGGTATTTTTTTGTGAAACTTGGTTTCACAAAGAAAACCCAGGTTTTAGGTGCTCTACTTGTAGCTAGTGGTCTCCTGAACTTGTATATGAAATTTCATCAAGATTGGACAACAAATGACTGAGTTATGAGCCAAAAACCATATGTCCATATTTGGGCATATGGTTATGAGACTTTATACGAAAGGTAATCCTAAACTACATATTTTTTGTAAGTTTATATCTGTTTATATCTGTTTAAATGTGGATACTAAGGCAAAAATACCCCTTTAAATGAACAAAATTGCCTGTATCTTCACGATATTCGCGGAATTGATCTCATTAAATTTAAAATAACTGAATCAGTTTTCAAAATTTTTGCATTTTTAGCCGATATTGATTTAGGCCTCCACAAAAATGTCACTCTGTGCCGTATTTCATTCATGTCTTAATTTTAATTTTTTCATGTCTTAATTTTAATTTTTTCACAAATTTTGTGTCACTCTCACCTACTTCACTGATTGGTCACTGTTCAAAGTTTCAGTCAATTTCAGATTTAATTTGATTTATGTTCTGATGAGTTTCTGAAGTATATAGTAGTAAGTGCAATAAATTTGGTTCACAATAAATTTGGTTACCATAATTTTAGTAACAAATTTCGCAAATTTTTAGTCTACAACAATTTTAGTCACATTTTTCGACTTTTCGAGACCATTTTCTATTCCATTTATTTGATTTTTCCATTATTTAGCTAGTTTTTTTTTCCGATTTCGCACACAAAGTCATACTAGAAGTATGTAAAGGGGCCAGTTTATATAATTACTTCAATGAGTTAAACTAGATACAGATGTAACTGCCTGATGGGAAAAGGAAGTAAGATAATGTGAAAGCAGAAAAGCAATGGATTACACATGTAATAGTCAAAGTAGTTCGGCAGTAGGAACGGTGATGTCATTATATTATTTATTTAATATTTTTAATTATAAACAATGTAAGCTCAATAATATTCATGTCATATATGCTCTACTGAAATTTTGGTCTGCTTTTAAATTAGTCGCTGAAAAATGTAGTCTCAATAATTTTGGTTTACAACAATTTTAGACAAAATGTTGACTAAATTTATGGTACACTAAATTTGTCGTTCTTAAGGTACCTAAATTGTGTCTTGTGCCATCCTCAGTGACCTTGGAAGATGGTCATTTAAGAAAAAATCAAAACAGTGGAATTTGGGTTGCAGAAAGCTGAAATTCGAATAGCTTGATAAGTTGAAACATAGGAGACTTCTGATAGAGGGGTCTCATGTCCTACCGGTAGGACATATTCAAAATTTTCATTGCATCAAAGTTTTCTCAGAATATACTGTTTCCAGTACCTTGATGGCGACTTGTGTCACTCTCACCGACCTCACTGATTGGTCACTGGTCAAAATTTCAGTCAAAACCGCGAAATTTCGGTCAAGGGAACGACAGAAAACATCCTTTTCAAAAATCTGCCACAATCTCTTTTTATATTCTGATGATTTTCTGTTTATCAAAGCTTTCCTTGGGAATAGAACTTTGATTACCTTATATTAGGCTCAATTGTGAAAAATTCAAGAAAAATTCAGGCAAGACAGTGTAATTTGGGCGTGGAAAGCTGAAATTGGAACCGGTAGGACATATTCTCAATTTTCCTTTTATCGAAGTTTTCTCCGGATATTTAGCTCCCAGTACTTCTCTGATATGCAGGAGTTAATATGTTTAACAAATTAACAGTATTTGTTGTTATTGTTTCGTTGAGTATATACTATATGTGAGCAGTAATTATTTGTTCATATTTTACATCACTATACTTCTGTAGATTATGTTCTCAACAAGAGACAGGTTTAGAGAGATTGTACACTATACTTTACACTTATCTGTAGATTATGTTCTCAACAAGAGACAGGTTTAGAGAGATTGTACACTATACTTTACACTTATCTGTAGATTATGTTCTCAACAAGAGACAGGTTTAGAGAGATTGTACACTATACTTTACACTTATCTGTAGATTATGTTCTCAACAAGAGACAGGTTTAGAGAGATGTAACAACTTTTAACTTTTCTGGTTTTTTTAAAGAGAACTGGAAGCTTGTCAGACTCTTCTCCTAGGACCGGACGTAATTGATATCTATTAGAGTGATAACTTAGCAATGAGTTTGTTGGCTTGCTCGAAATTCCGTAATTATCTAGCTTACTCAGTAATTTGTTCAGCTGAGATGGTATAGAATGCTTTGCTTTAGAACAATGAATAATCCGAGCAGCGTGCTGCCTTTTATTAGGCATGATGCTATATAATTCACTGAGTAATTCAGGGGGGGGACATGACTAGTAGAGTGATTTCTTACGGAATCCATACTGATTCTTCATAGATCATATTTTGTGACTGGAAAAAGCTGTATAGCCTCTATATAAATTTTCTCGAATAACTTACAAATACGGCTAAGGTAGACGACGGGTCTATAGTTTTCAAGTAATTCTTCATTTTCTTTCTTGTCATGGACTGATCCTGCAAATTCTTTTAAATCGTCCGGGAATATTCCTCCTTCAAACATTCATTGTATTGTACAGAAAATAGGGGGGCGATAATTCTGGAATGGAAGCTTTTATAACATGTAATGGGATATCAGACGATTTGCCATTTTTCAATTCTGGATATTATTTTACATACTTCAACCGATTGTACAATCATGCATGTAAATACTGGGTCGTGTTGGCTTTTGGGTAGGTAGTCTTAGATGACTGGGGAGATGCCAGTAATTAATAGTTCGCGATTTCTTTGTATGCCTCGTTAGATTAGAACGTAGGGAGACAACAGTACTTTAAAACTCATTAGATATTTCCTACGATTGTAATTTTTTCATTATGATAGTAACATAGAGGTTTGGTTTGTCGTTTTCGTTTACCCGTATTTGGTATTAATTACCACGTCTTTTTACTTTCCGTGCAACTCTGCCAAATTTTCCACCATAGAACTGAGATGTGAGGCATTGCGGCGATCTTTTTTGACCTTCCGCCTGCAGTCACTGTATTTGTTATACTTGTGCACGTTTTGAGCAACATATTGGGCATTGGCATGTCCCCCCTTTATTTTCATTTCCCCAAAATTTACAATTAACTTTTCTGACCTTTCCCATTTATCGTAAAGTTCTGGCTGATATGAAATTTTGCCCACAAGGTTGGTTTATTCCATGGGTTGTTCAGAGCTGTTCTCTTTTTAGAGCATTTAGGGGTTTTCTAACTTACAAGTTCTAGCTATACAGTCCTTAGTATGTCGGATATGTTGTAAAAATTGTCGATAACATTATTATTGAGATAGGTTCCAGTGTCTGTAAAAAAGGCTTTTACATTCGGTTTGGTGTAATCATAATATGTTTGTATTTCAGGTCAATTCTGCTAGAGTCCCAAGGTTTTCTATCAAGATTGGGAAGGATGGGTGAGTGGGTGTTATACGGTCAAGTCAGTATTCCAGAAGCTACTATACAGCTTCTCTACGTGTTAGTTATTATGTTATCAATACAGGATGCTTTGCCAGCCTGGTTTCTCATGTGTTGCTAACGTAAATAGGGGGGAACAAAGGAAACAAAATCCTGTACTTAAAGTATTTCTTCGTAGCGCTTGGTTACGATTGTGTATTCTATCGTGTAAATCAATGTTAAAATCACCGCTAGGTAAACTACACTTGGGAGACTGTAAAGGATGTCAGATGAAGTCAGATAGTGCAACTTGACAATACCACTCGAGGGAGGACGGTTCATTACACCAACTGTTATGGGAAGTTGTACTACTTACTGCCACAAAAAGAGTTTCTAAATGTTCAGTTGATATGGGATACATTGCCGTTTTCTTGGCACTAAGAGTGTCACAAAACATAGAGAGCCACTCCAGTGCCCCTTTTTTTTTATTTGGTATGGGGTTGGTTAGATAACAGTTGATATCCGTTAATTGATACAACACTGTGGATTAGGACCTTATTTGTTTCCGCTAAGGCTTTGATCGGAATTCTTGGTGAGCCTATGGATTCAAATCGCGAAAGTGTCGAAAGTTGCCTTTTGCCGTCGATGTTTTGGAGAGAAGCGATGGAAATTCATTTTCATTGATTATTAGTGCTTTGTTGAATTCCTTGACATTGTACGATACGCCAGTTATTTAGTTATTTGATCTACTTATATGATAGTGTCATCCCTTCACTACTTTCATATCACTTAAAATTAGTGCATGCAAGTCGAAATGGATTGTTGTAACGAATAATGCTTAAAAGTACGCACTTGGGACAGTAAAAATAGTCAGATAATGTGTCATTCGTTAATGGATTTGGTATAGCACTTATGGTGCATTGGGCAGTCGCATTACAGCATTCAACAAGAAATTGTCATACGTAATGAACTTTCGCACAGAATACGGCATAAATCATTAATCAGGGGAGTCAGAATGGATGGGTAACCTTCCTGGTGTCGAGGACTCAGCAGCAGTTGTAGAACCCGTCCCATCACACGTTCCGATTATGAGCGTCCCATCAACCTCGTCTGTTCTCCATTTTCCTTCTATCAACTCCTCCATTCTTTCTAGAAGCACTGTTTTACGGAAATCAAAGTGCCAAGTTTAGCTGTCACCCCCTCCAGTTACAGGTGGAGAAAATCTGGTCGCTGGTCTCGGCCGATGTTTCTGGAGAACTGTTGGTCTAGAAGCCCAGCATCATCTGAACCCACCGAATCCATCACGTAAGTCACACCAAATTTGAATGATCAGTCGTCAGAATAAGGCGGTTTTAAAGCAAACAACTTTTCTATTCAGTTCAGCAAGCTTTGTAGGCAGGGCTGGACAAACATTACAAGTGCTTCGGTTAATAGCATGAATTTTCTCAATCTTTTTAATAAAGGGAAAATACAGTCGTTTAATATCAGATGTTATTCGTGATCTCAGTTTTTTAAGAACCAAATAACAAGATCCTCCTCATTAATACCGGCTAGTTTATCAGGACAGGAGTGTTCCATAACTTCACTGCTGGTATCCATGGTGATCAGACTCCTCGCCTCCTCTGTATCGTAGTCTATATCGTCCTCTTCTCCTATTATAGTAGCCTGAATGTACCGTCATTTCACATTTTAATCAATTTAGTTTGATAACCAAACTGCTAGGAATCAGAGAATTATAGTGGCCGTATCGTGGCCGTATATTGGCTGTATAAAGGCCGTGAGTGTTGTCATGGTAACGGTAGTGTTGTCATGGTAACAGTAGTGTTGTCATGGTAACAGTAGTGTTGTCATGGTAACAGTAGTGTTGTCATGGTAACAGTAGTGTTGTCATGGTAACCGTAGTGTTGTCATGGTAACCGTAGTGTTGTCATGGTAACAGTAGTGTTGTCATGGTAACAGTAGTGTTGTCATGGTAAGAGTAGTGTTGTCATGGTAACAGTAGTGTTGTCATGGTAACAGTAGTGTTGTCATGGTAACAGTAGTGTTGTCATGGTAACAGTAGTGTTGTCATGGTAACAGTAGTGTTGTCATGGTAACAGTAGTGTTGTCATGGTAACAGTAGTGTTGTCATGGTAAGAGTAGTGTTGTCATGGTAACAGTAGTGTTGTCATGGTAACAGTAGTGTTGTCATGGTAACAGTAGTGTTGTCATGGTAACAGTAGTGTTGTCATGGGTATACTAACCTTAGGGGAGTGTTTCATAAGACTAGTAACGATCAGGAGCTGAGCCTTCTTATCTGCCAAGGTCTGCAGATTGTTTATACCTCCCTTATCTACTATACCTAGATTACCTGCAAATCATCACTTTCAGTACTATTAAAGTAACACAACTTTACTATCAGTAAGAAATGTGGTCGAGTTAAAAACGTTATAATGCTATTACAATTCTTTTGTAACTTTGCGATAAGTTCAGTTTGCTGCTACCGCGTAGTAAGCCTTTGCGTGTGTATACTTGTACATTACTATACAATGTACACCACGGAGGATGATCTACATTTGACCCGATCTCAGAAGAAACTCAAGGATTTCAACTATGAAGAAAAGGAAGATGTAGAGGGCTGTGCTGATAGATGGTTCACTTCGATGGCAAGTCTACTGAAATTAGAAAACTTCGAAATTCGTGGAGATATGGACCAAGAAATACTCATGTCTCCGTCTATCTATAAAAGGTATATGGCAGAATGGGTTATGCAAGCAGCAGACCTCGTACGACGGCAGAGTAGTCAGATGAGCGCTATGATGGAAATCGTTGAGTGCCTCAAGACGGAAGCACTAGCAGACAAGGAAAAGATAGTCAGGTTGCAGGACCAGTTGCTAGTGCAGAAGGACGAACAACTACAGTTGTTTAAGACGTCAGTTGAAGAGACAGTACAAACAACGGTGGAGACAGGGATTAAGAGCTACAGTGCCGCTGTACAAAAGAACAGCACAAATGGCGCGGTCTGCAACAGTAAAATTCTGAAGAATGTAATGAAGAGTGTGGCTGCAGAGGAGGACAGGAGCAAGAATCTGATAGTGTTTGGACTGAAAGAAGAGGATGGAGAACAGCTTCCAGCTCTGGTTACCGCAGTATTGGAGGAGATCGGGGAGAAACCTCATTTTGAAGCGACTAGAGTCGGCTGGAAGAGGCCAGGTATCACGGCTATCCGACCAGTCAAGATCACCGTCCCAAGCTCAACAGCAGTTCATCAGATTCTGATGAAAACAGGGAGACTGAGGATGGCTGATGCACACAAAGATGTATGGATCTGTCCTGATAGATCCAGTGAAGAGCGTGCAGCAAGGAAGAACGTGGTAACTGACCTGAAGAAGAAGAGGGCTGAACAGACTCATCTCGACCACTACATCCGTAACGGGAAGGTCTGTAGCCGGGTTAAGAAGACACCATGATGACGTAATTCATGTTTCTCGGACACCGATCAGTATAATATGTACTTGTAGGAGTATTTTAAGAGTTTACGGACGTTATCTGTATTTGAGAGACAATTATATTATATTATATAAATACATTATTATTTGATTGTTTCACACTTTTCACGTTTCATAATTTTATCACTAGGTGGAGGTGATGTTATTGAGACTTTGGGCGGCCAAAAAACTCCTGTTCTAAAAGTTGTCCTCTGTACTTGTTTCACTGACCCACGCTTTTTAGCATTTATACATTTCGGCCCATTTTATATGTTTGTTCGAATTGCTGTACATTTGTATACTTGCTATTTTGTAAAAGTTTCAAATCAAATCAATTTCAATATACACGATTTACCAACATAAATATCCATCTTACTGTTGCTGTTCCATACAAACAACAAACAAACAAGCTAAATAACATCACAGTATATAATACAGCTGACACTAGTGTTGTCATGGTAACAGTAGTATATACAGCTGACCTGAAGCCATGATGTCTCTTAGCACTACTCCTGCTTTCTCCGCTACAGACACACAAGCGCTCAGAGTTCTCATTAGCGCCATCTCTACCTGTTATCAGTACTTACTGTTATCTTTACTGTGTACTTACTATAAGTTATATAATTATATAGTGGAGGTATTAGAGGAACAATAATATTATACTTTTACCATTACCTACCACTATAACTTTTACAATACTTATACAGTGTATAGTGTACCTCATTGCAAAATTAAGTTTTATAGAGTTCAGATTTCAATTTTTACAAGGGTTAATAAGTAAACTAAGGTCAGTTCACTTTTCTTAACGCAGTAATAGTAAAATATATAACAAAATGTTGGATACAAATGTATAGAAAATAAAGAATACAAACCACGGCTAAAAACTCACTAATAAGACTGCAATCTGCACAGTTTACCAAATATAAAACGTATACAAAGTGTACCATATAATAGCCCCATAGAGAAGAATGCCTGAGCTACAAGAAGTGTTTACATAAGTAACAATACAATGTGTGTGGGTTACTTCCTAACAAAACGCTAACTGACCACGCAAATTAAACAGTTTCTCTGCAGCACTGTTACCATGACAACACTACTGTTACCATGACAACACTACAGTTCCTCTGCAGCAGGTACATACCAAATATTCAGGTAACCCTTCACTTATTTAGATATTTAATATAATATAAAACCAGGTGATACATCTGAAACAACCTTGTTCCTGATGATTTTATTCAAGTTTGATAAATAGAGATAAATAGAGATAAACAGTGCTACAGTGCTACATATCAGCAATGTTAGGTTTAGAAGAGACAGAGCTGGAACAAGGGAAGAGCCAGAACAACTTGTTTCCTCTCCCAAATATGCGGAGTAGAGTCACGTGCACTCCCTCCTCTGCTCTAGTGACGAACATTACCTGCAGATACAGAGATATTTTTGTTGTCATGGTAACAGTAGTGTTGTCATGGTAACATAGTATTTAGATTTAATTCGATTGACTGCCGATTGGGGACCAGCTTTACTTACTGGCCAATGTTTACTTCAAATATATATTATTATAGATACAAAATTAATGTAAAAAAAGTAGGACAAAATACTTAATAACTCCCAATCTCTATATAACTGATAAATGATAAATGTGATTTTTAATCAGGCAATATGTTAAAAGATAAAATATAAGTTATATAGAAATATAGAGATATTTGCAATATGGGACAGAGACTTTTAGTTTTATATAAATCTAGGAGTATGTTTGCTATAATATAACTTAAAATACTTAATGTTAAAGAGTCTAACCTCTTTATAGAGAAAGTAAGCTAGGATAAGGAGAGAACTGAGACTCAGACCACAGCAGATAACACTGAAATAATTTAATTAGTTTACATAATATTATCATAATCTAACAATTTAATATATCATTATAATACTTAGTCGACCCCACAAAATCAAAAGTCATACCTCAAAATGGTTCAACAAGTCATGTAAATTAAAGATAGATAACATTTGGAACCTAGCACAGTTAGTAGTGAGTTTCAAGCCAACACACAGTGTGTAGGTAGAGAAGACCACGCCCCAGAATAGTAGCTGGATAAGGAACTTGTGGTTCAGTACCCCTACACAAGTACACATTGCAGACCAGTGTCCTCTAGAACGTACCAAACACCTGTAAACACATTGTTAGCTATCAGTAGTGTTGTCATGGTAACAGTAGTGTTGTCATGGTAACAGTAGTGTTGTCATGGTAACAGTAATGTTGTCATGGTAACAGTAGTGTTGTCATGGTAACAGTAGTAATGTCATGGTAACAGTAGTGTTGTCATGGTAACAGTAGTGTTGTCATGGTAACAGTAGTGTTGTCATGGTAACAGTAGTGTTGTCATGGTAACAGTAGTGTTGTCATGGTAACCGTAGTGTTGTCATGGTAACCGTAGTGTTGTCATGGTAACAGTAGTGTTGTCATGGTAACAGTAGTGTTGTCATGGTAACAGTAGTGTTGTCATGGTAACAGTAGTGTTGTCATGGTAACAGTAGTGTTGTCATGGTAACAGTAGTGTTGTCATGGTAACAGTAGTGTTGTCATGGTAACAGTAGTGTTGTCATGGTAACAGTAGTGTTGTCATGGTAACAGTAGTGGTGTCATGGTAACAGTAGTGTTGTCATGGTAACCGTAGTGTTGTCATGGTAACAGTAGTGTTGTCATGGTAACAGTAGTGTTGTCATGGTAACAGTAGTGTTGTCATGGTAACAGTAGTGTTGTCATGGTAACAGTAGTGTTGTCATGGTAACAGTAGTGTTGTCATGGTAACCGTAGTGTTGTCATGGTAACCGTAGTGTTATCATGGTATCAGTAGAACGCACCAAACACCTGACAACACATTGTTAGCTACACTGAAATCAGCCATCAGGTATCATCAAACCTGGGCAACTTAAATCAGTATTCAGTACAAACTCACTCAAACTGTTTCGAATGTTTTATTTAACCTGATCATACATTATATGTATTGATAAAGTATGTTTTACCCATTACAAGTTGTGCAGTGTCTCGCAGTCGGAGAAGTGAATATTGAGCAAGATTTGCACACAACCCATGAGGACTTTGTACTTAAATCCTTTGAGAGATCTGAAATGTAAGTTACATTAATTAACAGTGTAACCATGGTAACATCATGCTGCAAAACATCCTAAAACTCTTTTGAGCCTGAACAGTAAATAATGATATACATAACTTTCATGTTCATGCAATTGAAAACACTGTAACATTCAGATGGATTAATTCTATTAATTGTTTCACAAACTCTCTTCCTACCTGAAAAGTCAACTGAGATTGTGGGTTTGGGAAGAAAACCAGGTCTGATGGTAATTAATCGAAGGAAAGATGTTGCAGTCAATAGAAGAAACACATTAACAAAACTGGCATGCAGTGATAATTCCAGTTCTTTTCCCTAAAAAAACCAGCATTGAAATATAAATCAGTTTTTACAACATTTCAATTTCAATAATTAATGTTTAATGTTATTTAATGTAAACCTCAATCTGACAAGGTTTTCACTGTCCCATTACTTTATTATTTGTGCATTATTTTAACTACAGTCTAGTTACACCAGTGTTCCCAATGTTTAATGAAACTGACAAAAAGGATTCATTTCAATTATGTACCATAGTTGTTTTATAATTATTCATAAGTAAAGCGAATTATGTCACCTGTTATTCAACTAAATATTTTTTGAAAATTTAAAATGAGCTCACATCCTAGCTAAGATCTGGAATTGTTACAGCAATTTTCAGTGTTCGAAATTAGAAACAACTTATGCTGAAATTAAGGCTCAGGTGTAAGATACTAAGATGAGCACCTCCAAGAGTTTAACTATAAAACTAGAACAATCTGTTCATCTTACCTCATTGTTAACAGCAGTTAGTAATAGCACATCGATTGATAAGAAGGCACTACACCAGTAGATTATGATAAGTATAGCTCTTTTCATACTAAGACACAAACAAGTTCATTAGATCATTGAAAGTCATAAATATGACCACATATAATGTGTATGATGCATTCCCTTGATTAGGAAGCTTATTTTATTTAAATAATAACAATGCCAGCTGATAAACTGAAAAGAACAATTGGGGTAGGTAGCCCTGGTGGATGCGTAAACTTTACGGTCTGCTCTCTCCAAGATCAGCCTGCTTCTCCATTTTACCGTGAAGCTTAATTTCTAGCTTTTGTAAATACGATGCAAGCACATGTTTACTTATCTTAATCTACTTAACAACTCAATAGTCCAAGTCACCATACCAATTGTACATTCCTGAGTGATGGAATAACTTTTAAGTATTTCAAATTGTTGCAGCCGTGTACCTTTTTCGACTCCGTGGAGTCCCTGATGGACTTTTGTTTACTTTTGTTAATAATCGGACCAACCTTTCTTTCTCGAAACATGTATCCTATTGTATTTCATTATTGTATTAAAATGTAAAGATATACTAGATATTACAACGAAATAGCGGTATACCAAATTGGCCCTTGATATACACAATAAGGTTTGGTACTTTATCCGTACATCCCCTTTAATAGCTACAATAAATTGTCTATAAAATTTACATAAACAAACTTAAGAGACCTCAAAGCTCGTCTTCTGAGGAATGAGATTGAAGGATACGTCATCCAGTCCAAGGTGCTGGGCTTTTTGTCTTCCTCTGATTCCCCTGAGTGCTATGAGTGTGCTTCGTAGCAGATCAAACCTGAATCGTGTTCTGATGTGATTTTTGACCTGGCTCTTAGCTTCTTTATTGTGGTCAGCTATCCTTTCAGAAATACGATCTACAAACACAGTGCAGAGTGGGCCCATACCTCCGGATGTTGTAAAAACTAGTGGGACAAAGGACCCTTTCTCTGACTGAAGTACTCTCTCCTCATATAGATCTTTCTTCTCTTTCTCATGCGCACTGTAGATTTTATCTAGTGGCTTAAATGTATTGGAGTCGCAATTAGGATGAGTGACCCTGATGTCAAAGAATGTTCTTTCGAATGGTGCATACAGTCCAACAGCTTAAATTGCAGTAATCAAATCTAATTGCAGCGGCACACACTTACTATTACTATCATGATTGTACTATAGACAGAAAATCTTTCAAATCGATTTTGGGCGCTTTTTAACCATTTGTTGTAATGTTTTTAGATACTAAATATCTAAATTTATAAAATTTTTTATCGGAATGAATTAATTGATATTTAATAATTTATTCGGTAGGTTTATCTGGTATTGATATTGATTATATTGATATTGTTATTATTGAACGAAGCTAACTCTAGACATAGTTAATACTACTTCTTTTAAGAAAGGGACTTGGAGTATAAACGACCAAGTTTGCATAAATTTCTATCCACCCAAGAACTCAGGAGGCAAAGGTGGGTGCGTAAACTTTTGGTCTGCACTCTCCGATACTGTATCACCCTGGATTCTTCTCGACGTATCTTTGTAAAAGGTATATACCTTCTAGTCAATCTCTTGCTACTCCAAGTCCCCTAAGATATCTGATCTAAAGTTCGTGCTAGTTATATATATATGAAATATACAGGGTGGGCCAAAAGTCAGTGTGCAAACGTTGGGTCTTATACCTCCGCCGTGTTTTATATTTGAGAGCTGTTGCTTTGCAGATGGCATACTGTACTTACTGGTTCGAGGATTCCGTCGTCAAAATTTGAAAATTCGAATATTTTAGACCACGCCCATTCAATATTAAAACACCTATATTGTTTTCTCTAAACATGCTGAACGCCTAATTTTTTCAGAGACGGTAGATTATCAAATGTTGCATATGATCTGAAAACATGAGGCAAAACGGATTAGAAATGACGAAGTTATCAAGCATTTTCTGTATCTCGTTAACAAAATTGACTGGGTGATTATGGGACACCGTGACAAGACACCTTAATTGGGCACCCTTAACAATTCCCATAATGTTTAACGGGGTAGTTAACGGGGTACCTTATCACGTGATTAGGTAAACCAATCACCTGATCACACGTAATGAATAAACTCGTTATATGCTTCATATCTCGGTCATCTGAAAAGCTACAGTTCTAATTCTTTCAGGACAAACGTAATTCGAATGGCCAAACACAATTCAATAACATTTAGCTTGATCCGACTATCCAAACTATCAAATAAATGTGAAAATGAACCTCCCTTTGAAAAAAATGAACGCGAATATTTTTCGAGTTGACAAATTCCTGGAATCAGTGGTGGTACTAAGTCATACCAGAAGGAAGTATTTCAATTGGGCACTCAGTGACTGAGCTATTAAGGCCAACGTTTGCACACTGACTTTTGGCCCACCCTGTATTTTTGTCTGCTTTAATTGATACTAAATAAAATTGTTGTTTTCTTGAAAAAAAATTGTTGTTTTCTTGAGCTGCTACGTCCAGTTATTAACTATAACAGTATATAACAGTTATTAACTATAACTGTGTTGATGGTTTTAAATTTTGTATGTTGTAAGTATTATATTTTAGTTTGTGAAGCGTTTACTCCTCCCCCTCAGCAAGACAGTTAGATTGTAGATTAATGATAATAATTGTCAAATGACGTTATATATTATATAACAGTTATAAATGTTCAATAGTTGTAGAGCGATTTCAAGAGTAGTGGTCCACAGGGGTCCGAAAAAGCCGTACAGGCACTTGGGTCCTTATCCTTGTCACTAATCTCAATTGGATTCGGTTTACACAAAACATGAACATTTAGACGTACACATTGACACGATATTTATTAGAAAGCAAAAAGTATAAAATAATACGTGCGTGCGCGGCTTGAGCCGCGCCGCATAAGAACGGATGCGTGCAGGGGCTGGAGTACGCTTGTATGTAGATTAATGAAATGGTGCATTGTAAATATTGAGAATTGACGATATATTATGATCTAATAGTAAATTTTACAAAGCTGGCTTTGGATTTAGGTAAGATTATAATTCATTAAAAAACCACGGATAGTTTAAATTTATTTTTATTTGTCGTATAATCATAAACAATTTAATCCTGTTTTCAAGAATGCGCGGCTTTGGCGGCCAGTTATTGACTTATACATTAAATTGAATTTTAAATAGAAATGTGAATATATTAAAATTTAAAACTTTCAAAATGGAGGCTTATAAATATTATTATATTATGATTGTAAAATAAAGGATAAAATTTTAAATTTGTTTCACTAAAATTTGTTTCATTGCTATAATTCATTTAAATAAAAATTTGTTGTTTTCTTGAAAAAAATTGTTGTTTTCTTTAACCAGGCCTTTTGGACAAGTTTAGGTGAATAAATTGTAACTATTGAAATTCATCGAAAATTTAGGTGCTATAAACACTCGTATCACGTATATAAAAATGTTTCACCTAACCATGTGTTTTCACCTAACCATGTGTTTTCACAACAGTGAACAGCCTAGTGCGCGCGCCACTGCAAGCGCAAGCGCTCCATGAATAGAGCATGTTGACATCGTTAATCAATAGATCATAGATATGCAAAATTAAAAATTTTACTACGTTCTGAGTAGCATCATAATTTTTAATGGAAACACTGTCCATCAAAGCTTTAAAAATACAAAAAAGGGTCGTAACTAAAATTTTATATACGATACAAGTAAATTTGTTTTGACGTGGCCCTGAATGACTATTCGAAATCATAGCCCTCTAATCTGATGCCTTCAAATATCATAATTTTGCGGTACCAAAATTTAAGCGAGACATTATATTATCTATTTTGTTAATTGTTAATATCGTCCTTTTTACGTCCTTTTTACGCACTTGCGTCTTGCAATGCACAGGATCGAGGCCAAGATACAGCTCGACCTTATCGTGCTGCACAGTGATCAATTTTTGTTTGTATTATTTTTGATTCACGATGTCAATCTTTAACTGTTAACTTTGCAGCTCGGTGAGGCCCAGTGGTGCATCTCGTCGATCTACCGAGAAGAATTGTTAAATGCGCGGCGCGCGCGGCCCAGTATAGTGCATCGCGCTACAAGTATTATTGATTATTCACACTTTGAGGCAACTTTCAGTACCAAATTTATAAAATTAAAAATTGGAGACAACAAATTCTGTGCCAACAAATTCTGTGACAACTCATGGCGACTAACACTAAGGTAATGATTTAGCAAGCTCGTATCATTCACTACAATTACATCAAGCGAGCGCCGAGCGTGCTAAATCACTCTACAGTCGATTTTTGAGATTGATCTAAAAGGGCCCCGACAGTCGAATCTAACTTCAATCGATGTATTTTCGGACGCTGATTCCGAATCATCCCCCATGACATAGGGTTAAAATGCTCCCCTGACGAGATATTGGCAAAAAACTGTCTCGATCACGTGATATGACCGTATAAGGAAGTTAGTCTAATTTCTCGTTAGGGTTTCAGCATATGCTTTTGTTGAGGATTGGGTTAGGGTTTGGATCAGATTAGAGGGTTACGGTTTCGAATAGTCATTCAAGACCAGCTAGAGAACGGGTTGAAAAGGTCACGTGCCAGTCGAGTGTAGAGTGATTAATCTTCATCCTAAATCAAGTGTTATTCTAGTTCAGCTTAAACTAAACATTGACAATCCAAAACTACAACAACAAACAACAGAACCAACTTTGTTTTGTTTTGCGGTCTCTATGCGATTTGATTTGCAATTCAGTGCGATGATCACTGATCTCAGATCTATATGTCGTATAACAAATCACACAAGGTAAGCATCACTTGTAGTATTTGTTATACGACATATCACCCAAAATGTGCTCACCTAACACCTAGCGACATAACTGAACTTACTGGAGAATGGTCTTGCTACAGCTGCATTTCAGAAATTCTTCCAGTGGGTGCCGTCATGCCTCTATCACCAATAACTTGTTAAACAGAAAGAAAAAAGGCAAAATCAAGATAAACAAAATTAACTATAATGGGAGCGAGATAACAGATTCTCAGCAAATTGCGAATAGCTTCAATGACTATTTCTGCAATATAGCTGAGACTCTTAAGAGAGAAAATGGTCTCGTATGCTCCGAGGGCCGGACTATCGTAACAGAAACTCAAGATAGCAAATGCCAGCGGAGCATGAATCTCGAAGACTCGTCCGCATCAGAAATAATTGAAATAGTTAAGGGTCTGAAGATTAAGTCGACTTCTGATATGAGTATACTTCCCCTGAAAAAAGTGAGCAATATACTTGCGCCAGTGCTTAGCTGCCTAGTCTCTGCTTCTCTACATCAGGGGAAGTTTCCACATAAATTGAAAATCGCGAAAGTAATTCCACTTCACAAAGGTGGGTCACGTGCTGAAGTTTCAAACTATCGACCAATCTCACTACTTTCGTGTTTCTCAAAAATCTTTGAAAAAATTATGCAAGCGCGACTATTAGATCACTTAAAGACAGAGAAAATCCTATTTGACTCTCAATACGGATTTCGAGCTGGACATAGCTATGAACATGCTTTACTAGAAGCCCAAAACCATATCCACAGGGCACTAGAAAAAAAGCAGGTCACAGCACTGCTTCTATTGGACTACAGCAAGGCCTTCGACATGGTTGACAGCAGTATTCTTCTGAGAAAACTTGAGCACTATGGAGTTCGGGGATTGGCTTTATCTTGGTTTCACTCATATCTTACCGATAGAGAGCAATACGTGAGCGTCAACAACTGCAAGTCCTCTCACCTCAAACTTAACTACGGAGTACCACAGGGCTCCATTCTCGGACCAATTCTGTTCATAATTTACATCAACGACCTTCCTCAGATTAGTAATTTAGCTAAACATATTTATTTCGCTGACGACGCAAACCTAATAATAAGTACAGATACATTTGAACAACTTAATGCAATGGTGAATGAGATTCTGACTTTGATAATTGATTGGGCTACTAATAACGGGCTTAAATTAAATGCTAGCAAAACTAAATATATGATCTTTACAAATAAGAAAACTGAGGATATAGAAATTTACATGGGAGGTGAACGATTAAAGCAAAGTGATCACGAAAGGTTTCTTGGCGTGATCATTGATACCAAGCTAAATTGGGCCCACCACATTAGACATTTAGCCACTAAAGTATCTAGAAATGCGGGCATACTCTACAAACTCAAAGGCTCTGTACCTAACAAAGCACTCAAGTTGATATACAACAGCTTTGTTCAGTCTCACTTGTACTACTGCTGCACAGTTTGGGGAACAAGATCGCTAAACTCCGTTAAAAGAGTCTTCTCGGCCCAGAAAAAGGGCATTCGCGCTGCAGATAACCAATACCACCGCTATTTTTATGACAAAGATCTGAACAGTACACCTTCACACACAAAGGAAATTTTCAATAAACTAGAAGTATTAGCTTTACCGAACGTAATAGCTAAATGTATATTATGCTTAATGCACAAAGTTTATTCTAACACTGCACCACCAAATATTATAAGAATGTTCACTGTTTCAAACTTAAACGCACCTAGAAGAGAACCTGAGTTCTTTGCAGTACCATTTAACCGTTTATGTAATTCAGACAAGAGCATTTCTTACATTGGGCCTAAGTTATATAACAAAACAGTCAACATTATTAACAAGGACATAAAATATGTCACGACTTGCCTACAAGACAAATTCCTAAATTCATTCAAGTCTACAGTCAGCAAGCATGTGCTTACTGCACAAGCACTTAACCCGGATGACAAGGACTGGAACAACTCAAATTTCGTACTTTTAGAAATTTAAATAATTTGGTACAACATACGTTGATAATAACGAGCAACAAAACTTTAACCTCATAACGAAATATGACTATCTTCGAGCATTTTCTACAATGCTATCGCTACCGCGCAATTTCACTGTCATTTACAAAACAAAAATATCACCGCGCATTCTTCAGACCCTGTGTCGCTGTTCTAAATTTATGTCAAGAGATAAGAGTTATTTAGAAATTCTTAATAGTAGTACTATTCAAATTTGCTAATAGCGTAATCATATTTTATACATTATTCATATTTTATACATTGTGTGCATATATTTATATTTGATTGTAATTAAAGATTTTAAGGCGTTAGTGCCGAGTAATGCCTCTGGGTAGTGCTCCTCAATCAATCAATATTTATTAATTTAAATACAATAAGGTGTTGAATGTTGTTTGTTGATGTCTGTTCTGTTGCGATCCTCATTTGTTCAGTACTGTTGGTAGTTATTGTGTGTGTGCATGTGTCTCTCTCTCTTTCTGGCTTTGTATTACTGGGCCGCGCTCAGCCTGTCATTCCGCCGAATCTCTATTGTTTATGAACATGATAGCCTGATATGAGGTCCCCAGGTAAGCTTTGTACATTTTAGATTTGTAAAATTACTTTTACAGCGCTTACAATGACTTTTCCACTTTACTTGTTAATACTAAAGAATGAAAACGTGGCTATTTTTATTATTATTAAGAGCAATTGACTTAATAACTTTATACGAAATATCGGAGGTCTTTGAGTGCACTGATAAATCTAAAAAATGACATAATTTCAAGGAAGACAAGTCATGTCAGGACCAAGTGTGACGGTAGACGCAGACATGATCAATGAAGTGAAATCAATCTTCAAAGACATAGGTGTGGAACTGAACAAGGATTACCATGGCATAGAGCCAGATGACGGCAAATACTTCGGTCCCTACTACATCATCTACCGGTCCAACTATTGGGGGAGCGGTAACAACGGGGCTGGGGGTCTGGTAGTGGACTTCAAGGTGAACAAACTCAAAGAAGCTACAAGACAGTACGGTCAGAAGAAGGATACACCTACCAATGCCTACGGGATTTGCGACAGCACTGGTCACATCATCCATTACATTACTGGGCCGCGCTCAGCCTGTCATTCCGCCGAATCTCTATTCGATGTTTATGAACATGATAGCCTGAGGTCCCCAGGTAACCATTACAACGCTCGATTGACCAGCTCTTTCGAAGGAACACAGGGAATCAAGTACTGCAAAGCAGCCATCCGAAAATACAGCGGATAAGGAATCGATCTTAGTGATTTGACAGACATCCTAGTTTTAAAAGCTAAGTGCGGACAACATATTACTCAAAACTAATAGTCGCCATCAGTAACTGTAACCATGGTAACTATCATTAACATGTAGCCAACATGGGCTACATGTTGGCGACAAAAACAAGTTTTTCTTTCTATATACATTCTGTCAGCTATTAGGCCAACAATAACATTTAGATTGTCCATATTTGTGTAGATTTTTCAAATGTAGACATGAGTTTCATTGTAAGATAATGATTAAGAATTGGTGGTTGGGATGAAAGCAACTTCTGTATCCTGCTTTTCTTATTAAATAAACAGTTTGTTGATGAACAAGTATCATTATAGTTATTTACAAATTACATCATAAAAGTTTGCAAGAAACGTTTCCATGCTCAACATGTCCAATGTCCATACGGTACACAAAAAACGACAATTGTCACGTGGTGTGACGTCATGACGCGTGGCGTGACGTCATGACACGTGGTGTGATTGTCGTAGGTTCTAAACTAGATTTTGTGACACTAGGAGTGTTTCTGTTAAAGTCGTTACTTAAATATAAACACGATATATAAAAAGTCGCCGCCAAATTGTTCTCTTCTCGTCATGACACGTGGTGTGACGTCATGACAAATTGTTTTCCCACTGCTCGTCATGTCACTATCAAGTTTAAAACGGGAAATAAACTCAAATTCTCCTCAACAAGATGTAACCAGCGAAAACTAAACGTATTTACAGTTCAAAGTACAGCTTATCATTTTCAAAAATAACCCGTAAACTTTAACCACAAATTACTATAACCTAAATATTATCTCTCCTCTCTAAAGAAATATTATCTGACAGTAAACCCTCTACAACCGAGATGTTGCGCAGTTGTCACGGTAACACCCCATGTAGTCGATGCGCGGCGTAAGTGTGCTTTACACAATTGCACGTGCAACGAAAGCGCGCCTCAACAATGAAAGTGCAACCTCGGAATTTCAAATCTATAATAGTTTTAATCTTTTCTTTCTCAATAAAAGCTCTTCACTTTCACACATCTCAAATATATAATCGTACCAACTAATTAATACCAATTTACAATAATTGATAGTAATCAATTAATATAACATTCACAGTATTGTCGACCTGTTTACACGAAATCCTAGACTATAATCTCTGGCCATCTTTCAGCTAATTGGGCAATTAACTGATTAGCAATTAGCTAATTAGCAATTAGCTGATTGGTCCATCAAAGTTGAAACATTTATTCTCCAGGCAAACTGAGAGATCGCTGGCGAAAGAAAACTGTTCTTTTTGTACGACAAAGTTAGAGCCACTTCAAGCTAGATACATGTATACTTTCCTGAAATTTAACAGTTAGATAAGGCGGTGCTAGAAGAAATAAATTATTCGTTGTAATTATTTTCATGTGAGTGAATGACGAGCCTGCTATATTTGTCTATTGAGAGGTTGTAACCATGGTAACCAGAGGTGTAAGATTTGCATTGAACTAATCACAAAACCAAACCTGTCGTTGGGCGATCTGACGAGATATTCTCGCTCGATGAGGCTCTCTATTCGCTTCTTGATAGCAGATGGGGAGGGCATGAAGCGGGACTTCAGTAAACCAGTAACCTGAGGATATATCAGTGTTAGAAGATCACATGAGTGACGTCACACACCCTCTCACGTGACGCCACACACCCTCTCACGTGACGTCACTCACCCTCTCACGTGACGTCACACACCCTCTCTCACGTGACGTCACACACCCTCTCTCACGTGACGCCACACACCCTCTCACGTGACGTCACACACCCTCTCACGTGACGTCACACACCCTCTCACGTGACGTCACACACCCTCTCACGTGACGTCACACACCCTCTCACGTGACGTCACACACCCTCTCACGTGACGTCACACACCCTCTCACGTGACGTCACACACCCTCCCACGTGACGTCACACACCCTCTCACGTGACGTCACACACTCTCTGTTACGTGACGTCACACACCCTCTCACGTGACGTCACACACCCTCTCACGTGACGTCACACACCCTCTCACGTGACGTCACATACCCCGTGACGTCACACACCACGTGACGTCACACACCCTCTCACGTGACGTTACACTCTCCCTGGCCCTCGTCACAGTTCCTATATACTAAGTACTAACCTTAGCTGCCAGAACATTATGTTATCCAAACCTCAAAACCTCAGCTATCTTACCTCAGCTATGAGCACGTTGTGCTCCTGTTCCTTCCTCGCCTTCATTATCCTCACTATCGCGGCCTCTATCTCGTGTTTTCTGTCATCATCCACCCGCTGCCTCGTCTCCTGGCGCTCAGGGTCTGTCTCCGATTTAGACGCTATCGCTGAAACGTTTAGCCGTCATTTACAGTTTCATGAGTTTATTATCACTAGATTATTCTATTATATATATATATATAATGAGTTAAATCTAATATATATATATATATATATTATATTAGTCGAGCTGAAGTTTCTGTTACCGTTCTGGAATTCGTAATAAGGAGATTTACATCACGGTAATTGTACAAATAAGGATGTGAGATTTGACAAATACAATAAGAAAAGGAAAATACCAGTTTGAATCTTGACGCGAATGAGTTTCGAGGAGAACTGATCGTTTATAGTAAACTCGTCTGTAGAAGCAATCTCCTTCGTTTTAGGGTTCTTCTGTAAAACTCGCTGCTGTATTCTTCCTACTGCAAGAGAGAGGAGGGCTCGCTTCAACTCCTGAAATGAGGACAGTTCAACGTGTGACGTCACACTTTAACACGTGACGTCACACTTTAACACGTGACGTCACACTTTGACACGTGACGTCACACTTTGACACGTGACGTCACACTTTGACACATAACCTTGTGACGATCGAATTATACTTATAGAAATCATAACTTCAGAATTATGATATCAACATACAAATGTTAAGTTATCTACAATAATCTACAATAATCTACAATAATCTACAATAAACTACAATAATCTACAATAATCTACAATACAATGATCTACAATAATCTATAATAATCTACAATAATCTACAATAAACTACAATAATCTACAATGATCTAACCTTTTCTGGGATGTTTGACTCTGTTTCTATGTCCTTGTACGTATAGGACTGTTGTCTGTTGAACAACATTAGAATACACATCTGATATGTTGACACCTGAGATAATTACATAATTACATAATTATATAATTACATAATTAGATTCAGATATCGAACGGAATGTTGCAAATATCATAGAACAGATCGTTTTTGGTTATTTTACATGAGATCGAGAGGAAATATTGGACAACATGGTAACGTGGTTACTCGGTCTTCAGCTTTAGATGCTATTAGAGGGGGGGGGGGGGGGGGGGGGGTGCACTACTATCATATTATACATAGAATTAGCGGGGCTACGAGCAAACTAAAGCTAGCAAACTTGCTAGGTTGCTAGGAAACTAGGTTGCTAGGTAACTGACCTGTAAAATGTGACGTTTAGGAGACACTACATCGTCCTTCTTCTGATAGAATATCGCATTAATATCAGCCTGTCCCAAGTGAGGCTGCAAGTTTAACTGTCTGCCGCTGTGGTCCTTTAGGTAGAAGGTCTTGAAACGCTCAAACGCTATTTCAGCTTCTTTGGGAAGTTTTGATGTGACCTTGCAGGGGGAGATAGGCCAGTAACCTGGGAAATAAAATGATGGTTTAATAGTCACCACGTGTTATGACGTCACACCACGTGTTATGACATCACACCACGTGTTATGACGTCACACCACGGGGAGATAGGCCAGTAACCTGGGAAATAAAATAATGGTTTAAATTCGGAGATTATTATTCAGCTTTTTGATATTTTATCCAGAACTGGTTAACATTATTACTTTGTGAGACAACACAATTAAAGAAGTTCGGGAATTTCTTGTATTGGTAAATCTAAAACATTACGTGATGATCAAATTTTCTAAATTAAACGACGAATTAATTAATAAGCCAATTAGCAGTCTCACCAGTAGTGAGAACCCTGACATTAAGATCAATAGAGAGGGGAGGCATGTCTTTAGTGACTTCCCTGAACTTCTCATTGACAGAGTTAGAGATGCTCATGTCCTTAAACATTCCCTCCAGTTTACACGTGAACTGGCAACCACACTCCGTCTGGAGGTTTGTAGCTTAATTAATTAATTAATTAATTAATCAATTAATTAATAGCTTACACAGGAGTAATCCTTCACAGGAGTAATCCTTCAACTTGATAATTGAGCAATGTATTAAAATTAGTTAATTACATGTTGTATTGAGCGCGCGGGTGATTTTAGGAGTGAAATTGTTCACATTTTAAGTTGCCACATTCAAGTAACATTTTGTGAAGGGCAAGTGACACTTGACAGTTGTATAATGGTATAACATAATTACCTTCAGTTTTGATATCATATTCTTTTCAGCATCGTCAGAAACGGAGCGGTGATTGAGCAGACGTTTTGCTAAGTGTTGTTTGTAATACCTGAGATTAAGGGCCTTGTTATCACCTTTAATGTCTTTTTAGTTATGTTAATTTATCTTTAATGTCTTTTTAGTTATGTTAATTAATGTAATTTAATCAATTAGAGCGTAAAATAACTTTATCTTCACGATCAGGTTACTGAACCCCAGTTGACTGAACTAAGTGATAAATTAGTTTATTAATGGATTATTTAGTAGTATTGGGGGGGGGGGGGGGGGGGGGGCCAACCATATTAAAGTATATTAAAATGTAGGATTTTTCCCGATTTTGACCCGGGGATATACTTTAATATACTTTAATATACTTTAATATACTTTAATATATCCCTATCTCCTTGGAGGCCTACATCAAAAATTGTTGCCCAAAATAAGCTTGAAATGCAATTCTTTATCGATTCCAAAAAGTTCTTGAAAAAATATTGAAAAACTGATGGAGTTATTTCAATTTTAATGAAGTCATTTTGGCTGGTATTCCGAACCGAGATATTATGTGCAATTTTCCCAATTTTGTTCATGGAGGTCTTTTTACTTAGTATCCACTATATTCAACAAACACTGAGTTATATCTTTCACATAGAGTTAGTCTCATTAAAAAATATTGAAATTTTATCGAATTTGGGCAAAAGCGAATTTGGGCAAAAGCGTATGTCCAAATATGGGCATATTTTTTAAAGCTCATAGCTCAGCCAATTTTTGACCAATCTGGACGGAAATTCATGTACTAGTCCTAAAACAGGCTTATCTTGCGAATCTGAGTGAAAAATATAGTTCATCATGTAAATCTTAACGAAGAATATAAATCTTCTAATTGTAGGTATATTAAAGTATATTAAAATGTAGGATTTTTTCCGATTTTGACCCGGGGATATACTTTAATATACTTTAATATGGTTGGCCCCCCCCCCCCCCCCCCAGTATTTTACCCACCTCTCGAACCACGTCCTTGTCAACGAGGAATTTAAACAAAAACTATACTCTGGTCCAACACCCTCTCGATATCTTGCTCTGACAACTGAAAACGGGATTAAGTTAATTAACAACACCCTCTCGATATCTTGCTCTGACAACTGAAAACGGGATTAAGTTAATTAATTTTATAGGAAACAACACCCTCTCGATATCTTGCTCTGACAACTGAAAACGGGATTAAGTTAATTAATTTTATAGGAACAACACCCTCTCAATATCTTGCTCTGACAACTGAAAACGGGATTAAGTTAATTAATTTTATAGGAAACAATTATACAGGAGACAATTAATTAGATACAGCATTTTAAAACCACACAAGTGCAGTTTTCTTATTCGAGATTTAGTTTAATTACATTTTTTAATTAAATTAAATTAAATTAATTGAATTAAGTTTCTAAGACTCACCCCTTTAGTTCCTTTCTTTAATTTATCGTCAATAAATAGTGATAAGTATTCTGGAGATTTAGGGTTCAGGTTCAGGAAATGCTCGAATTCCTGGGAAAGGTTTATTACGAACATTTTTCTTCTTTAAAGAGTTACATTTCAAATGTCTGACACTGTGTCAAAATGTAGACACATAAATTACTCAAATTATTAACAAATCGTTAAATTGATCAATAAATTGGACTAACCGAGCAGATGGCCTGCTTGAAGGTGTGATCGTTACCGAACGAGTTTTTGAGGAACTGATCAAACCTCTCCTTCAGATCTAGTAAGCTCTGTACGTACGTTACTGTGTTATTGATATCTCCCTCGGAATCCACCAGTGTCTTACCACACTCTCTTATGTATCCTGAGCACAATTAGTTAATTAGTTAATTAGTTAATTAGTTATTATTGAATAATAAATATGGTAATTATTTTGAGAACTGTGTAACCTCCTCATTATATTAACAGGTTTTGATACTTTTTGGTTTGAAAACTGATTTCTCTTTTGATTTTAGTACCGCAGATCTGACATTATCTACATTGCAATATAGATCTACGGGTATATGCCTCACAGAATGGCCAAAAAAAAGAAAGGTCTCTCAAAATCACAAAACACACTTTATTCCAGTTTTTATCTCATAAGAAGCTAAGTTGACACTCATATTTTTCTTCCCGGGGGTTGATTTAATCTCATAACCATTTTTTCTTTGAGAAAAATTGGCCGGAAAATCTTCCTCCAAAAAACATGCCTCACAGAATGGCCAAATCTGAATTTCTATAATTTTTTTTATGGGTTTCAGTGATACATGATTGGTAGCAGGTGTGCGTGGTCTGGTGTCTCGTGGACAGTTGTCCGTGGGACCTAGTTGTCGCGGACAGGGGTCGGCTATCTAGATTACTGCCGACATGTTGGGGGTGGTCTGGTTTTGAGCTTCTGAATGCGGAAACGTTTCTGGGATTGTTCGACTTATCAGAGCTAAAGACGGGTATTTACTTGTCATCTTACATGTCGTACTTACTGGTAAAATGGAAAAATGAAAGTGATTCATTGGAAAATTGATTTTTCATCTCGCAACGTATTGAGCAACTTTGTGAAATGGTTAATCTCATTATGATAAGGGTACAATTGTACCAAACCAGATTAGGATTATTTAAATACTAAGGAAACGCCATGGTCAAAAGTAAGAGCTATTTTGAGATTCAGTATATATTTTCCAGTACTTACAGCTATAAGTTATCTCACTTTGCTGTAACATCTCAGGATTTTGTTCCGTATTTTACTTTCGTAGTCTCCAGCAGCCCCCCAACATTACCCGGTGGAGATTGGGAAATACGAATATGATCTCGTTAATTTTTGTTCAGTTATAGTTAACTGTATATGGTATATAACTGTATTACAGGATTAATGCTTTTTTCTGAATGTATTTAGTAGCTAATGATCATCCGACTGCCGCATTAGCCGGTTTCGGACCAGAAGTAATTTTTGGCGATCTGTCCGACATTCGGATCACAATAGTAATTTCGGATCAATTCGTATTTCACAAGCTCACGGGTTTAATCTCGGGACGTTGCTCCACGGCATGCCCAGACTTGGTCAGAAGTGATATGAATACCATATACGTCATCAAGTACGTAACTGCATGCTGAAGCTTGTGCTCGTACTATATTAGTGATTTGATCCCATGGATTGAATATAATTGAGCTGAATGGGCTAGATCTGGGGTTGAGTTCATATGATCAAACTCTGTACATCAAAAGCTATAAATTAAAGATGTGAACATGTTTTAAATTTGAGACAATGTATTGGTTGGTTATAAAATTGTTTTAAAATGTTTATAAATCGATTAATGTTATAATACTTAAGAATACCAACAAATTTACTCATATAATTACTAAAGTATTTCGCAAAGCGAACAATTCTCTATCGTGTTGGGTATGCCGTGTAGAAGAAAGGGTGTACAGAATATCTGCTGGAAATCCTCTTATTTTTGGACGGAGTCTTCTCCAACAGCAAGCGATCCAGTGATAATCTGTAACTAACCTGATGTTCTTAATAGCACGAAAATATTCTTGAACAGAGGGCTTGGGGGATTCACTCGGGTTTTGAAACCTCTTTGAAAACTCTTTAAAACCTCTCCGAAGGGGAGCTCTGGATCCTGAATAATACTGCGAAATGATTCCAGATACACCACATATCACTCTGGATTAGGTATGGTCGTAACTTTGGGGGAATATATTATTCTATCATCTCTTTTTCTGTCTTCCTTCAATAGGGGAAATTGATCGTCTCTTCTTGTTGATGTGCAGCTGGAGGAAGACGAAATCAAGAGTAGCTTCGATTAGGTTGCGTCTGTTTTACTTCTGTTGACAGAATCAGGCAAGGACTTCTGATATCAGTGTTCTGAGTTCGCGTCTGGGGTTGTTCTGCAGCCTTCCTTCTTGAGCGTTGTAAGGGAGTCGAAGTCTCAGTGGGGTAGCCGATTTCTTTTTAAGTCAAACTGGACAAAGAGTGTTGTCTGTGAGAGCGATGGTAACAGTTGGCAGGGACATTAAGAGTTTTGTTCTTCTGGCAACGCCAAGCAGAGGAGAGGTAACGCTGTCATCAGATTCTTCCTGGGTAGATATATCTGTCAGAATCAAGCACTTGTTGACATCCTTGAATCCTCTGAAAACCATTTAGGAACTAGGAGAGGTAGGCATGACTGTTGATAGTATGCGACTTCTATCTTCCAGTATATAGACCTAAGAACACTGATCGGCTCCACTCTCCTTACATGCCTTGGCAAGTACGTTACATCCCTTGATACGAGAACCCCCCATTAAGAAGAGATCCGTCCCTTATGTGGGTTCTACAGAGTCGAGCAGGTCAAGATATGTTTATTCTGTAATGTTCAAGCTATGTTTAACAGAATTTACATCGTGATACTCTACCCCAGTTCTAGCCCATTTATGTGTTTCCTATTATTTTCAATATGTATCATGTGAATCACATAACTAATTATACGTCACTAATTAGTGATGTGATATCTGACCCCTAGTGGCGGGCCGGATCAGTTTTCATGACACAAGCTTCCCAGGGGCTCCCACTGTCCTAATCCTGATTTGATAATTGAGATTCGATCCAGCGATAGTGATTGACTATTTGAGGACAGGATCGGGCTAGCGTACCACATAACATGCTGTATAAAGTCTGTCGTTCTCATTCACAGCTACAGTGCATATAGAGAGCGGTATGGGATTCAGGTTATCGCAATCAAAAACGCACCCAATCTTCAGTTTACCCCTCGACGCAAGCAGGCTCGAAGGACCATGTCCTGAATGATTTATAGACTAACATTGTCCAAATTTTATCGACATCAAATGAAAAATAAACTATGGTAGAGTCAGCTTCAGATCATATATCAAATTGGAAATGTTACGATACACAAGTAGCTAGTAACAGTCAGATAATGTCTCTAATTGGAAATGTGTAAGTATTGAAATTATATCACAATTCAGGGACATATGTTCTTTTTTTATGTTAACTTGAGGCGGACATAATAGTCGCGTCGGTCAGATGTCTTGTTACAGGAGCTACTTCTTTACACATAATTGCGATTTCATTGAATACTTTTTAGTTATGGGCAAGAGATCGATTTTTTTTTCTGTGAACAAATTTCGTAACAAAGGTTTGTTACTGGAAATGTGTTGTCCATAGTCCAGGAACCACCACAAATAATAAACCGCCAGCTGATAACAAACTTTTGGGCAAAATATTTTTATAGTAATTTTCTCCTGGAAGCCTTACGCCCATAACCCTTAATATGGTTATTTCGGCTCACGAAGTTCTTGAGATTCCATAGGGGGTGCAAAATGACCGCAATGGCCAAATTATGGCAGCGAATGATGTTTCAGAACTTTTGGGGGCTTTATTTTTCGAGATAAATGGAACTTTTTACTCAAGTTTTTCTCCTATATTTATTGAATATTTCGACAATTTTCACCAAATTATTTTTTAACGCTTATTTCAAATCTTAACTCGGGTAATAACTTCAATTAACGCATATATCAACGTTAACTAACAAACAACAGATTATTGACCCACCCCCACGACAGCTATTCGACGGTACATGTACTCTGGTTGGAAGGTCTTTAAAGTTATCCTACTGTGAGCCGATGATAATCACATTCGATTTGCCATTATGTTTAAGGCCACCCGAATAGTACTGGAAACTGGGATGCTATTGTGGTCAGGGTTAGGGCTTCACAGTTCACGAGTTTCTTGGTGCATAGGATATATATTGGCAGATCTCGGGTTTAGAGGAGCTCATCAAAATCGTGTATCCTGGAGACGTCACGCATATATCGGATGGAGATCTTACTATAAAGCGTTGAGAGCCCTATTAGATCGACGTCCGCTCTTTGTTGGTTTCATTATGACGGAAGTAGGTTACGGAACGATGAACTAAGTAGAATTGGAAGGTTCATCAACAAAATGTGTGAACGTAAAAATTTTAGGGTGTTAACTTTAAGACTAAATTTTCAGATCTATCAGAGAAAATTCTCTGCTTCTATTAGACACCTGTTTTTCAAACAGTAGACAGCG